TCGAAAAGCCAGGAGTGTCCAAACGACATAACAAACGACAAAAAGACATGGACAACGAACTCATGGAAATTGAACACAAAAAACTAAAACTCTTGGAAAAGGAAATTGAAAATAATACAAATAACAAAGACTCAGACGATATGTTATTTTCAAAAGTTTAATACCTTTGCTGCCGAGCTCCCTGTCAGCAAGCCAAAAACTGCGGATGAGGACGGACATTCAAAATGTCGTCCTTAAATATTTGGAGGAAGATTAATTTTATTTATTTTCATAATTTATATATTTTGTTAGTCATTTCTTTCTTTCTTTATTTATTATTATTTGTATGTTACATACCTTACAGACTTTACATACATTATACCTTCATACATACTCTAACTACACATTCATACATCTAATTACCCTGTGAACCAAAGGGGTCAATTGACCCCTCTCGAACTAGTTCTGTGCTGTTTACCGCGCAACTAGCTACGCAACTAGTTACGCGGGAAGCGAACGCGGACCAGTCGAAAAAGAACCGAAAAACGAAGGTGCAGATGCCTTCGTTTTGTTTTCGAAGTCGACAAATAACCGCAATTCCGTGGAGTTATGAAGAAAACGCGAACAAGATTTACAATACAGTGCCCACTCAGCTATTTTTTACCGAGCCACACCATGCAATAAGCACCGAAATGGTAAGTTAATCGTGATATTTTACTGTACTTGCGCTCGTGGAATGCAAGAGACAAGAATTTACACAAACAAAATGGAAGAGTCGTTTGTGTCATTAAAAAAGTGAGAAAACAAATTAATAAATAAACTATAAACAGGTACGTGCAAATATATTATATATTTTAAATAAAATGATGAGCAATAGATATTTGCGTAGACTCCGTAAGTGTGAAAGGGAAGCTAACCTTGCAAAGTTAGCGTTGTGCAGGGAAGAAAAAGAGGCAGAAAAAGTGGAAGAAAAAGAAATTCTGATAGAAGAGGAGGAATTCAGGACAACAGCAATGAAATCAATACTCCATCCAGCTGGCGTTTTAAGTAGCTTGCACTTCATACTGAGCAAACACATTGTCCTAGCATTTAATGTCGATGGGGTCCAAGGGAAGAAGGCCCTTAGGACCCACAAAGAATTCTTTGCAGGTAAAATACCATTTACACAGCTAGAGATTTAAAAATGTTTCATATTAAATGAAACAAATATTAATTACAGAATGTATTCCGCCTGGCGATGAGCCACCCGAAAGCACTTTACGGAAGGCAATGCAGAGGATGAAGAAGAGAGTATTTAAAAAGAAGTGTCTTACAAAAAACCAGGAGTAGGCTAAGCAGCATATAATTAAAAATGATTCGTTTATATTGAAAGACATTGAGTTTTTATTTTTGTATTATTCCAGACTGACAGATTGACTACTACCAGTAGTCAGTTCGGAGCTAGTTACTGGTAACTAGGTCAGAACTAGCTACGGGTAATCGAAGGGTAGTCGAGTGGGTAACTAGTTGCTGACTTTCTTCTGGTAACTAACTCCTGAGCAACTAGCTACGAGTAATTGAAGGGTAATCGAGCGGGAACCAGGGGTGGTTCCGCCCTAGGACATGCATGTGTTAAATTCTCCGCTGAAATACATTGCGGGTAATCGATCTGGAACCAGGGAGGTGAGAATAGTAGCTTGGGCGGCACCGGTACGGAACTAGTTGCCTGGTACTAGAGGGTACATACCCTGCAGTACCAGCATTGAGCGATGACGAATGTCATCTACAATGTCATCGAGGCGTTGACGCCAGCCAAATCGAACCCTTTGTTTTTTCTTTTGTTTCTTTCTTTTCCGCGCGTGCCGAACGTAATTCGGTTCTGCCGACCGTGCGCAGTAGCAGAGAACTTCGTTTTATATGTTCGTTTTCTTTGCGCCTGCGTCGACAGAACTCTTTTGCTTTGTTCTTTTTGCTAATTGCAATTGTCAGACGGAGTTCTAAAAAGTGATTATTAATCTGGAGTTTTAATAAGTGATTATTAATTATTAATCTGCGATTATTATTATTATCAGGTAAGTGCAGTTTTGAATTAATTAATAATGTGTTGTGCGCGTGTTAAATAAAAAAAATCTCAATTGTATAAAAAGTTAAATTTATGGAAAAACGGTGTTCAAATTATATTAATGTTTCGCTGCATTCACATTATATTTCTTTATTCTTCTCTTATGCTCGGGAATAAAAGAAGAATAAAGAAATAGAATATAAATCCGTATAATCTGCGGTGGGCATGAAATTGCAATTTTTGAGCAGTCCAGCAGCAAAACAAACAACAAAAAGTAACCCTTATTTGTGCGGCTTGGCTCGCTTATTATGTGCATGATATTTATGTAGAAATCATGCACTTAATAAGTGATGATTTTTTGGCTTAAATCATCGCTTATTAAATGCATGATTTTTGCCTAAATATCATGCACATAATAAGCGATGATTTTTACCTAAAAATCATGCATTTTATAAGCGATGATTTAAGCCAAAAAATCATCACTTATTAAGTGCATGATTTTTTCCGAAAAATCATCGCTTATTAAATGCATGATTTTTCGGCAAGGCTCGATGACAATGTCATCGATTATGCCCTAGGACATCTCCATGTTAATGTCATCAGCTCAGCGTATGGCCGGTCATCAACTATGTCATCGGGGGTAGTGACGCTGTCATCGACGTGTCAGCAGCTGAGTCATTAATGACCGGTACTGCAGGGTACATACACACATACATATATTCATACACACACATACTCACATAACTACATACACATAACGAAAAATAAACAGTACAAATAAAAAAAGGTTCCTTTACGAACCGCAATGTAACAAAAAGACTTTCTTTGGGTCCAATGGGTTCTCGAAAGAAGGTCTGCTGCTTTTGAATTCGCGAATCAATTTTATTTAAAATATAGTCAAAGGTCTCAACCTGCATTCTTGCGTATTCGACAAATTTTATTGGGAACCTTCGAAGCTGCTACATATGGTGAAGCTCCCCAAGAACCGGTCGATCCCGAAAAGTTTCGTGCACCCAAATCACTCTGCGTATTTTCCGTTCATTTAATAGTTTCTTCATGTGCACATTTTCGCACAGTAACATTTTACGCACGCGCGACAACATTTTGGGAACGCTTAAAGAGAGAGAGGCTATGGCTTTCAGCTTTCAGCAATCAGATCAGCCGACAATGTACGCACCTGCAAGCTGATTCTGCCTGAAAAAAGCTCTCAGATAAGCTGAGTTTTCAGCTCCGATTTCAGCTGAGCTTTCAGCTCCGATTTCAGCTGAGCTTTTAGCTCCGATTTCAGCGCCGATTTAAGAGTCAACAGATCTGAGCCCTCCGCTTCGAAAGATCCGTTGCGATGCGCGGCACAGATTAGCTCAGCTGTTCCCTAAATCGAGCTTGCATGCACCCACCCCAATTATGCCATGACCTGCATCGCTCATTGGCCCACGGTTATTGCATGCGATATGCCCGAGCACCATAGCAATAACCTTCCCTGGATCTGGACTGTGCAACCGCAACCGCAACCGTTACAATTCTCAGAGTATTAGCTTCTGTTGGCTTCCTTTTTTAATGTGTCTCATCTCCTTTCTTGAGGGACGGTTCTTCTTGTCGTCAGTCTGTCTCATTTCTGGGCTTGTCAGTAATGAGAGACTCGCTCCGAGGGGATCAAAAGAGCGATGAGAGCGAGATACCCTAATTCACAAACCGCCTTGCACTACCACATGCCCAGTACAAAGTGCTTACAAAGCAACGGCAAGAGACTGCTCGAATGCTGATATAAGCCCCTCGCATTCGAAATGCCTGACTGGCTCCCAGGTGTTTTCGTTTCTAGGGAATCCCCTCCACCCTTCCTGAATGCTGGACACCTCAGGAAACTATGACGGGACTCTTAAATTATCCTTCGATTTTTTCGAGGAGTCGCGAAGGTGTCGAATTTTACATGTGAGGGTTTGTAGGCGACAGAATCGTCTTTTAGAGAACATAATGGGTTTGGGAGTCCTCAGTCCTCAAGCAAACAGCCACAGAAAGCGGTGGAAGAACCACAAGGATCTATGATGCAGGTATTCAGGGAGGAAGAACCTCAGAGAATCCAGCAACAACAACAGAGATACCAGGAGGTATTAATTTGGGTGCCGAATGAACGCATGTGGCCCATCTCGACTTGGCTTCATCCAGCAGACAAATCCTCCGATTTATCAAATAATGGAAATGTTGAAAATGACAATTCTGATAGTTGGTTAAACTTAGATCTTAATTCTCAAAGTACGGAAAATAAAGAAAATGAGCCTGAAAATTTTGAATTCGAAATCGCCAACAACATACCTACAGATAACCAGATGGATGAGTTGACGGAGGATGCCATCGAATACCTAGCAGGTTATGTTATTAAAAAGTTGGGACTTTCTTATGAGTTTTCAAAAAGATCGACATTTACCTACGTGGATGAGGTATCGCATGGCGGACTAATAAAACCGTCGGAAGAATTTAAACATAAAATCAAAGAATTTGAATTAATATTTATACATTACGTAAAAGAACATTTTAATTTAACCACAAATGTTAGGGCAAAATTATCAGGAGCAGCCACAGACGGAAACCTTCTATGAAACCCTTCGCGCCTTTTCGAAAAATTCAACGCTGAAAGGGAAAAAAACAACACTGCCGAAGCGACAAAAGCCATCTCCGCAACATCAGCGTAAACCCTCGTTAAATAGCGCCACCTCCGATTCTAAAGCCAACAGAAGAAATCAGCCAACGCCATGAACGCCGCACCTGAAGACCACGTCGGAACGAACGAAATCGTCGACCTCACGGGGGACACCGACTCGGAGGGGTCCGATGTCGACACGGACACGGAGAGCGGAACGTCGTCCGGCAACAGCACGGACGACGGAGAAGAGTACCCCACGGACTCGGAGGAGGAGACCCTCGAGACCCGGAGGTACGACCCCCCGCCGCCATACTCCCGTCACTGCCCGCCGGGCAGCATCACCTTGCAAGGACGACCGTCGGAGCTGCCCTCGTACCAGCGAGCACAGAGAGGCACCCCACCACGCGGCACGCGGACTTCGACCTCTTCCCCCATGGGCGATAGATTCAGCGACTACTCTAGGCCCCGCGACGCGACCCCCGACCTCCGCGGGCCCATCAACACCGACGAAGAGGACAGTCCCGATGAAGACACCAGTCGCCATGGGACCACTACCCCGAACGAGGACCCCAAAGCCGACGAACCCATGGAAATTGATGACATCAACACAACGCACCCCGACGCCTGAGGTGTACGAGCTATCTGCTGCCGAGTACGCCGCCCGTTGGACGGTGGCTCCGCCAGAGTGGACAACGAACACCGCCAACCGAATCCTGCCAACGTCTCTAATCCAGGAGGTACTGTGGCGACTAGAGCCGCGGGTTCGGACCCTGTTCGATAGTTGGTGGTTCGAGCAAAGGTACAGGATCCACCGCCGCACACCCGACGCACGAGTCTTCGTAACTCTCGTCGGGGAAGAAAGGGGAGGGTGTAACGAAACTAAAAGGTTTCGATACAATCCGTCCCCCGACTTATAATGAGAGCATCGCACCACACCCCGCAACCGACGCCCCCTCTCCGCAAGCAACCAACACGCGCCAACTCCATAACGATGACCAAAGACATCAGGTCACGCGAACTTTCCCCACTCCAGGCCAAGCCATCGGCCGAGTGCGGTCTTCCGGGTTCATCGACGGAGGAAAGTCGACGCCGCGAAAATCTTCGACGATCACCAAGAACGGCAAAGTGCACCCCGACGCGGAAGTGCATTTGTCAAACCCGCAGACCCAGCAATACGGGCCTATACAAAGACGGCGACGAGAACCAAAGGAAAACTTACGCAGAGACCCGGTCCGGAGTACAGACGCGGTAGCCGGAACTCACGAGAAGACAGCGGCGACGAAGTAAAATAAGTTCATTTAAACCACTAATAAGTACAATAAAGTGTCAAATTATCGAAGTAAAAACACCCGATTGCGTAAGTTCACTCCAATTAGTCGACGCACCGACGCCACCCAGCCCTGAGTCCACGCAGCCGTTTCGTATGCACGACGAGCGTCGCCCATTCTAGCCCGATCCGCCCCTCTACGATAGGCCGCCCCCGACGCCGCCCTTACGGTTCCATCCAATTTCTAAAAATTTCTTGTGGATTGACCCCTGGACGGGACTGAGCTTACCTCAGCCTGAAATAGGTCCATCACAAGACAAATCCTCCGAATTCACGGCACGTATCATTTACTGTGGCGCTTAAAAATACAAGAAAGATTTCAGTTTTACCCAAAAAAAGAAACCTAACTTTTGTTTGATTAGGCTTCTATTTTTAAGCCGTAGAAGCAGAAAAAGCTGCGCATTCCGCAGTAGAATTGTTCAAGTTCCCATCCAACTGCACGGAAACCCCCGCAACCCACGCAACCACCGCACCACTGGATCACCCTGATGCTGCACGATTAGTGAAGAAATTATAAAGAAAAACGCCGCAAAAGTTTGTTCTTTACAATGCTCCGTTTAATTCCGACACGTATATTTACATTCCTATATTTCGTTTACTTAAGATCAGAAACAAAAAAATATATATACGTCCAACTTCACGATGTGCTTGCCACGAAGGAAAAAATTAACAAGGGCTCAGTTCCTCTAGGACTGCGGTATTTATACCTTTTTGTCGCTGCGCAGTGCAAACACACACAATCATGGAAGCAGAACTGCTCTACACGAGCAGTGCTGCCAGAAATTCAGAGCTAGATTCAAAAATAAATCGCAAAAATGGCTAAAACTGAAAATAAATACACTTAAAATTAGACAAAGACCCCTGGAATAAAAAATGCTGTGGTTTTTTTGATTTTGGTTATTTTAGCGATAAATTAACAGATATGTGCAGATATTAAGAATAGCCCAACAGAATAGATCCAATAATTTGTATGCAAAAATAAAATCCAGACGAGAAGAAATATACATCTAAGGCTAAAATAAAAGCTGAATGTATTTAAATAAAATACTAAATTGCTTGTAAAAGCATTTTGAAAATTTTATAAGCCATTTCTAGCTATGTCTTAAAATATGCTCAAATGGCTGCACTGTACACAAGCTCTCGGTGTGCTGGCGCTGCTACATAACTGTATATGTACGTATGACGTACATACATAAATATAAGCGAGAAAGAAAACGTTCGGGTTCGTGCGAGGGGAGGAGCGAGCGATAGAAATACATGCTCTCGTTTGGTTGCTGTTCTGTCTGGTAGCAGCGCAGAGGCAAAATTAGGGACTTCACATTCTCTAACAATTGTTATGTTGTTGTAATTTTTGTCGTTTGCTTTGCCATCTTTCTGCCCGCTGGACGACAGGCTCGGCAGAGGTCGTGCGCCGCCGCATCCGACGCAGAACCGTTTGGAATATTTCTATCTCTCTCACGCCTCTCTCTTTGCATGCTTCGTTAGCTTGCAGCATGCGGAAGTGAGAGAGATAATCTGCCATCGCGTTGCTGGTAGCTTGTTGGCACACAAAACGAGGGGGAACGTTGTGAGTTGCTGCGGACACTGCAACTCTACAGTTATACCCGATACTAAGTCAGTATGGCTCTCCTCCGGCAGACGCCGCTAATATTAAACGACACGACAACGAGTGCGTGCGAGAGAGACAGAAAATCAGTCTGAGCGTGACGTCGGGCGCTGCGTAGCCAGTGCAAGCCAGTGCAGCCAGATTCAGCTATCTGATAGATATGGTCATTATCTATGATTTTGCGTTTTTAGTTTTCTCGTATCCTCAATATTGTGGATGCAACGCCCTTTGTGGGGGCGGAAGGGGGTGGGGCGAAATTTTGAGATATGCGTTTTATAGTGAGATCTAACAGGAGTGCGGATACTAAATTTGGTTACTCTAGCCATAATAGTCTCAGAGATTTGTGAATATCCCCAGATTTGCATCCTTTGCTGGGGCGGAAGGGGGTGTGGCGAAATTTTGAAACAAACTCGTCTCGGTCCGATATATTAGGAGTGTGGATACCAAATTTGGTTGCTCTAGCTTTTATAGTCTCTGAGATCTAGGCGCTAATGTTTTACTCTAAGCAAAGCCGCCTATGCTACGTGTGTGTTAGAGAGAGACAGGGCGAGATAAAATGAAATTGTTTTCTTGATGCTGCTATAATAATAATACGAGAATAATACTCATTTTGAGTATCGGGTAAACCGAAGCGTAGTTGCCTCTCAGATTTGATTAAGATTTTAAATGAAGAAAATTTGAACGTTAGGCCTTTTTATAGATTTAATTGCAATGAAAAGCCTGAAAAATGCAAATAGGAGGCGGCTCTTATTTGCATATTGGTTAATCAAAGCAATTAAACAAATTATCGGTGATTCAGAATCTTCCCGATATATTAAGTATTAATGTTAATGTTGACGGGCTTCCATTATTTAAAAGTTCTCGTGCACAATTGGGGTCTATTTTTATTAGAGTAAACAAATTAAGCAAATTTCCGGTCTTCCCCAAAGGTATTTTTGCGGGTCACAATAAGCCATTTAATTCTGAAGAGTTTTTGTCAAAGTTCACAAATGAGTTGTCCGATTTAAAGGCAAATGGCCTCACCATTCGAGCTGTTGTTTGCGATGCTCCTGCAAGAGCATTTGTTACAGGCACACCTGCTGATGAGTGGCTGGTGGTGGCGGTGGCAGCAGTGCCACAGAGGGTGGCGGCGGAGGTAGCGCCGCCGATCGCATGTGCTGCATATGGGCCTGCGGTGCCATGTGCTGGAACATGTTGCAGTGCTGCTGCTGCTGCTGTTGCTGCTGCTGGTGGGCAGTGAGGTGGTGCTGCTGTGGCTGGGCGGGATTCACATCGGGCGCTGTCTGCAGTATGATCTCCGGCTCCAGGTTGAGGGCCATATCCTGATCGTCCTGCGTGTGCTGCTGGCCCCGTAGCGCTGCCAGAGCAGCCGCCTGGGCAGCGGCCATGGCCGAGGCGGACACATCTTGGCCGTACTCCTGCTTGATGCCGTTCGGGCCCGCGTACAGCGTGGCACTCAGGTTCTGGTGGAGAATGGGGTGGCAAAGCTGCGGCATCAGCGTGACGCTGGTGATGGGCAAGGCGGGGTACGCGAACGACCGCGGCTGCTGTTGTTGTTAGTTGCTGGCCCTGGGAGGTTGGCGGTAGACCAACATCGGGCTTGACAACAGGCACTGGCTGTAGTATGGCCGCGAACTCGGGCGGGAGCTGTGAGGGATCGGTCACCAGGTATCCCTTCTTGCGGTCCTTGCGTATCTTGTCACGCAGCTTCTCGAGCTGCCGGAAGGCCTCGTTCGCCCTCCGCGCCTTCTTTCTGTCCCGATCGCGCTCCTGCTCCAGCCGCCGGTACTCGCGATTCATGCGCTTGATATGCTTCCTCTCGCGATCCCTCTCCCGCTGTATCATCTTCAGCCGCAGCTCCTCCTTGGAAACGGCAAGCTGGAGACACACTTTATGGCCAAAATGGGGAAGTGGATGACCCCCGAAGAGGAGGCACGCTAAAAGTTCATCATGCGTTAACGGGATCGCGCCCTTTCTTAAAATGAAGGGTAATGAAGACTTTTTAATTATTTTGGCTGTGGTTCAACAGCAAAAGCCCACAACAGCAACGGCAGAAGAAAAACTCGGAAAACTAAAGCGAAGTAACGACGCGCCAGCAGCGAGAAAGAGAGACAAAAGTCACCGACGCAGCGTAGACGCCGAACGACGGCGCCAGCCCTCTGCCGCCGCGAGAATGACGACGCTGGCCGCCCACGCTGGCGCTGGATCGAGAGAGTTCTGAGGCTGGAGAAGAACAACGGGGATTAAGAGATTCGTTTTGAAGCAGTCGTAGGAGTCGGCCGTGTTTGCGGATAAAATTCGAGTGGCGTACGAAAAGTAAAACACGTGGCGGACCAGATCCACGCCAACGCGGGGGAAGATCCTGCATCGACGCTGTGCTTACGGGGAGAAGACCCTGCATCGATACTACACTTACGGAGAGGAGATCCTGCATCTACGCTGCACCCACGGGGAAGAGGAGGCTTTCGACGAATACAAGCGTGGGAGTTCAGGGGTAAGCGA